TGAGGGTCAGGAACAGAGGAGGGGACTGGAAATAAGATATACTCTCCAAGGACACACCCCCAGTGCCATACTTCCTTTAAATAGGCCCCACCTTCTAAAGTTTCACACCTCACCAATAGTGTCACCATCTGGGGACCAAGCCTCAACACATGAGCTTTTGGGGGACATTCCAGGTTCAAACTATAACACTATTTTGATAGAAATTTGCCTACCAAATTTGAAGGCATGAAAATATGAGCTATGGGGGTAGAGAGAATAAAAAGCCTAAAAACAAAATGTTTTGTTTTTAATTTTGGTAATGGGGATTGAACCTAGGGGTTTTCTACTACTGAGCTATGTCTCCCGTCCTTTTATTGTTAATTTTGAGACATGGTCTCACTAAGTTGCCCAGACCTCAAACTTGTGACCCTCCTGCCTCAGCCTCCCAAGTAGCTATATTATAGAAATGTGCCACCACAACCTGCCAAACAAAGTGTTTCTTTAACACCACTATGATTCCTAACCCAACTCTACGTTTATCTGTGTTCTAACATCTTTAAGCTGTTTGACAAAGTTATTGTTGGCTTTTTTAAACAAAAAAGTTTTATACTATATAATATTATATAAACTAAACAGTTTTATATAATGACACATTTTATACCAGGGCTATATATTTACAGGTGAGATTCTGATTCTGAGACATTTAACTGGACCAAAGGTATCATAGATTATACAACTCTGACCCTGGTCAATTTGGAAAATGAGAGAAAAAGAACAAAAAATTTAACATAAAAATTCAGGTTGAGGCTGAGGTTGTGGCTCAGCGGTAGAGCGCTCGCCTAGCATGTGCGAGGCACTGGGTTAAATCCTTAGCACCACATAAAAATAAAAACAAGTAAAAATAAAGGTATTGTGTTCATAGGTATTTAAAATACAATCTTTTTTAAAAATCTGGGTTGAAACCCCTTTATTTAAAAAAATTAAGTAACTTGCATAATATTAATTTGCTAGGAGATTCTATAAAGAGGACATGCCACTTTTATTATGAGAAGATTTTTGAATTTTCAGCTATGGTTCTGAGTGATTTTCCAGTATGATTTTTGGGTTGAATCAAGCTAAGTGGATAGATAGGAGCCATCTCAGTGCTAGGCTATGAAGTGACCATAGATAAGAGCACAGGTTGGTATTTCAATTTTGCTGTATTTGTGATTCTAAAGTAAAATGGCTTTTGTTGCTCTATTCTACACGTGGCTTTAACCACAGCATCTCCACACCTTCCCCAGTGCCCGGTTGTCTGTTTGCTCCCCAGCAGTCCACGGCCTGCCTCTGGGGTTTCCTGGTAGACCACAGCTGTGGCGTGTTAGCTCATGCTGTGGTCCCATCTGAGCAAAAGCTGCTTGTGATTGGCCAACCATAACCCAGCCTCAAACACAGGGAAGAGATTCATAAAGGAATTCTAACATCCATTGATTTACATATTGCCATACTAGTGACTGTCATGTTCTGCTACCTTTCCTATCCTCTACAATGGATGTGTAATTGATGTGATTCTGCAATCTGTATATGGGCTAAAAATGGGAGTTCATAACCCACTTGAAGCAAAGTGTGAAAGATGATATATCAAGAACTATGTAATGTTTTGAACAACCAACAATGAAAAAAAAAATAAATAAATAAATAAGGAATTCTAACAACGGCAAAAGCCCGAAAGAAGAGATTTCACCTACTAAGGGATTTGAAATTGAAATACCCTGAAACCTCCCCTTCTCCCTTCCAGTTGGTCCGATTCATATCCATAACAGAGAAACCCTAATTGGATTTTCTTCAGATAGTTTTTCCCCATTAAAGCTGAACTTTACAAAATTGGGGCTTGCCTGGCTTTGTGTTTTAAACCTCTGTCTCTTGCAGGACCAGATAGCTCTATTGAGTGTTGTCTTCCAGTGTCAGCAGGATCATAATGTTATCTTCCTTTCCAATCTCATTATTCCTTAGAGCATAAACATGGGGTTACACCTGACAATACTATTAGTTTCTGTCTCCAAAACTCTAGTTACTACTTGGTGTTAAAAAGAATGTTGACAGACAGGCTCAGATTTTGTTCCAAATTTTGGCTCAGCTACTTACAGACTGGGAGACCTTGGGAATTAACTTCTTAAAGTCTCACTCTTCTGACTTGAAAAATAAGGTTTGTGATACATATAGTGTCTTGCTGTATTAGTCCATTTCTGTTGTGATAACAACATACCTGAAGCTGCGTATTTTATAAAGAAAAGATGTTTATTTTATTTATAGTTTCAGAGGCTAAAGGTCATTCAGCCTTTGGTGAGGGGCTCATGGTGATGGCATCACGGTGTGCTAGAGAGATAACACAGTAAGACATGAAGCCAGAGACACCCAGAGGCAAGGCTTGCTATTTGAATAACAACCCAGTCACTCTTATGGGAACTAGTCGGAGTTCCAGGAGAACAGCATTACTTTCTTATGACAGTGGTGCCCCCTCAACAACCTAACTGCCTTCCATTAGGCTCCACCTTCCAGAGCTTTCCTATCTCAATAGCACTAGACTGGGGACCAAGCATCCATCAATGAACCTGGAAATTGTATCTAAACCAAATTAGCACCAGTTCAGAGCATGACATGTTGTGAGCGTTCCTCGAAGGCTGTTTCCTTCTTCCTTGCTCCTCTCCAGGCCTAGATCTCTAACATACACTCTCTCCAGTTTAGCTGCAGTTGCAGACAGTAGCCATTTGGTTTGGCTACTCAAAATCTCAACCCTTTCTATTTCTGCTGTATGGGTTTTAGCAGACCTTTAGGGAATTGCTGTTGAAAATATTTATCTTAAAATGCTAATATAACCAAAAGGTGCTTGGAATTGTCCACACATAGTCTGATCTTCATTGCTTTAGGGCAGTGGCATGCAGCCTGGTTCCTTCAGTCAAAATGACCCTCTCCATACTTTGACACAGGAGCTAGTAACCCAAGACAGAAAGGCCAGGGCTCAACCTTTCTTGATGGGGACAGTGCTTGAGTGATCAGAAGAGTGCTTTCCTGCAGAAAAGGGGACATCAATGAGGACAGCACTAATAGTTGCCATAAAACTAAGCTCCGGTGTGCAGGTGTGTAAGACAGGGGACCCTAGTCTCAATCATATGCATGATTGGGAGAACAAATGACCACTTACTCAAGGCAAAGAGAAGAAAAGCAGGATTTATTGATCCCTCTTGAAAAGAACTGCAAGAAACAGGGAAGAAGGACCAAGACAAAGATTAAGAACTGGATTGCTGGAGGAGGCCCAACACCTCCTATTGAGAATGAGAAAAAAAAAAAAACTGCCCTTTGATAAAACCAGATAAGGAAGAATAAGTCAAGGCGCTTGCCAAGTTTTAAATTCCAATTTGCAAGTCGGACTGTCTAAACCCCTCTGTCTTTGGATGATTAAACTTGTACAAAGTTGTGAATCAGCTTCCATTATTTGTGTTCTCTTAGGAATGACACCATTGTGTTTCTACCTACCATGTCCTCTCCCACCAGGCTTCCTCCTGCCAGGAAAGCCTGCTGTGGGGTGCAGGGAGCTGTTGACATCAGCTTGGCAAATGAGTAGTGGTCATGGAGGGGTGACTACCAGCTGCTGACTAACCCCGTGTAAAGGCAGAATTTAAGGAGAAAAATTAAGAGGTTGTTTCAAGAACACCATACACTGCCAAACTTCTATTCATTGTCTACAGGAGACAGAGAAAGAAAGGACCCCTAATTACAAAGAGGCAGATCAGAGAGCAAGCCAGATTTCTCAGCAGGAGGCTGGCCTCCTCTTGTTTGTGGTGGTGTAGATGATAACCTTTTCCAGCACATGAAGCTGGAACATTGACCACAAAAAAATCACCCTTCTCCCTGCCCACACCACTGGGCTGCCTTGTCTGAGCTGCTACCTGGGATGATCTAGTTCTTCTGGATTTATAGGCTCCCTTTCTAGATAAGATTAGAACTGCATTACATTCCATGGGTGGAATGCAGAGGCCCCAAGATCCTATCAAACATTTCAGTATTACGCTTCCTGATTATAACTGGGAATTTCTAAGTTCTAGTTAGTCATAAAATAGATCAGAGGTTAGCAAACTCTGGCCATGGGCAATGCAGCCATTGCCTGTTTTTGCAAATAGAGCTGTACTAGGACACAGTCATACCTTCCCCTTTATTGGTCATTTGTGGCTGCATTCATGCAACAATGGTAGAGTTGAGTAGCTGCAACAGAGACCATATAGCCTGGAAAACCTAAAACGTAAATCTGCAATTTACAGTTTGTTGACCCCTGAGTTAGATGCTGTCTTGCTTCTCAGCACTCAGATAGGCATCTTGTTTAAATGTTGTTCAGATACTTTTGGACTCACAGTGGGTTTATGTTCTATGAACCCATTGTAAATTGAAAATATTGCAGTGGAAATTCAACGGACCTACCGAGTACCATAGCTCAGCAGCACAGCATGCCATAGAGTACAGTGGTTTCCCCTAGTGACCGCGAGGCTGACTGGGAGCTGCAGTGGGCATTGCTGCCCAGTATCACAAGAGAGAACTCTACTGTATACTGCCAGCCTGGGAAAAGATCCACATTCGAATGTAGTAGTATGGTTCCTACTGCATGAGCATCATTTTTGCACCATTGTAAAGTCAAAAAATCCTAAGTCGTACCATCTTAAATTGGGTACCATCTGCAGTCATCCATCCTACTTTCCTGGTACTATTCAGATGTTTGCAGGGAACAAAATAGGTTCAACGTTGTCTTCCAAAGACAGACCACCTGGCAATTTTCAATATGACCATACAGTTGGAATTCCAGCACATATACAGAACTGAGGGGACTAATACCCACTGGCACAACTAAGGAAGGATCTGCTTTTATAAATGACAGTCTAAAGGACTGGAGAGTCCTGTGGCCTTTGCTGAAATATTATAGCAGATGGTGGGTTTAAAATCCCCCCAAGACCGCGTATGAGCCGGCTCGGCCTCACGTCAGGCCGCGGGGAGATGGAGCCAGTGCGGTTGCACTGACACCGGTACATAGGCGCAGACCGGCGTGTCCTTGGGCTAGAGAGTGGGACGTCCGGCTTCTGATCGGGATCCTTCTTTGCTTCTTTGCGCTAGCCACGAAAGAACGAATTAAAAATGGGTGATGTTGAGAAAGGCAAGAAGATTTTTGTTCAGAAGTGTGCCCAATGCCACACGGTGGAAAAGGGAGGCAAGCACAAGACTGGGCCAAATCTCCATGGACTGTTTGGGCGGAAGACAGGTCAGGCTGCTGGATTCTCTTATACAGATGCCAACAAGAACAAAGGCATCACCTGGGGAGAGGATACACTGATGGAGTATTTGGAGAATCCCAAAAAGTACATCCCTGGAACAAAAATGATCTTCGCTGGCATTAAGAAGAAGGGAGAAAGGGCAGACCTAATAGCTTACCTCAAAAAAGCTACTAATGAGTAATAGCTACTGCCTTATTTATTACCAAACAGAAATGTCTCTTGGCTTTTTTATGTGCACCATAATTTAATTGATGTGATACACCAGAAATCAGATCATGAATGACTGACAAAATTATTTTTGTTGGACAATCCTGATTTAAGTAAAACTTACTTGTAGTTAAATTAATATTTTGGTTATATTCCCACTTCAGTAAATTCTATCACTGTTTCCCCTTTTTAAAGTTGTGGTTGGACTTAATTAGTAATGTTCAGTATTTCACAAAAATGGTGAATGACATCTGAAAACTGGTTTTATATTTAGTTTTATAGAACTGATTATGTGAATATGTTTAAAATATGGGGGAAATCCCTTCACTCTCTCAGAACCAAGCATGATTCACATTTGTTTCAATTTGTGTTCATTAGCCTATTAAAGGTTGAAGATAAGGAAAAAAAAATAAAAATAAAATAAAATCCCCCCAAAACAATCACAGAATATTTGTTGAGAATCTCTTAGTTATTACTAATCTTCTTGCAGGGAAATGGGAAAAGTAATTTTTCTGGAAAAAAAACCCATATATATGTGGACATTTACAATGTCTGGGGGTTCATGGGTCCCAACAAGTTAATCTATGAACCCAAGATTAATAAACATCATCATTATCATCATCATCATCATTAATTTATTTCTTGTGAGAAAAATAAACTGAAGAACTAGTCAAAAAACCTGTTTTCAATTTGCTTAATCAACAATTATCAAGCATTTACTTGGTGTTATGGTTTAGATATGAAGTGTCCCCCCAAAAGCTCCTGTGTGAGATAATGCCAGAAAGTTTAGAAGTGAAATGATTGGGTTATGAAAGCCTTAACCTAATCAATACATTAATCCACTGATATGGATTCCCCAGGCAGTAACTATAGATAGGCGTGGTGTGTGACTGGAGGAGAAGGTCACTGGGGCAGGCCTTTAGGGTTTGTATTTTGTCCCTGGTGAATGGAGCTCTCTCTGCATCCAGATTGCCATGTCCTGAGCTGCCTTCCCCCTCCTATCTTTCTGCCTTGATATGCTGCCTCATATTGGATCCAAACCAATGGACTGAGACCTCTGAAACTGAGCCCCAATACACTTTTCCTCCTCTACTTTATTCTGGTCATATATTTTGGCCACAGTGATAAAAGAGCTAAAATACGTGGCAATTAATTTTAAATGGACAGCATCTACTAGATGCCATCTACAGCAGTACAGACAATAATGCTGGAATTTAGAAAGGAAAGATTTTTGTTAGGAAGCTGAGAGAAACCTTTGCAGAAGAAATGTGATTAGATTATGATCTTAAAGAATAGCAAAGATGCTGGGTACAGTGGCACACACCTGTCATCCCAGCTACTCGGGAGGCTGAGGAAGGAGGATCACAAGTTTGAGGTCAGTCTGGGCAATTTAATGAGAACCTGTTTCAAAATAAACTAAAAAGGGCTGGTGTAGCTCAGGGGTAGAGTGCCTGCCTAGCATGCATAAGACCCTTGGTTTAATCTCCAATACCAAAAAAGCACAAATGAACTGCAAAGTTTTGGACAGAAAGGAGCAGGCAGAGATGGGCTACAAATGTCCCCACAGCTCAGTGAGTTCTTAGTTTGGGTTTCTTACCTGTGAGTCATAGGCAGGGGAGAGCCTAAAACCTCCCTAAAAAGAATGACACTGAAAACAATGTCCAGATTCCACATTGCAACTAACCTTTAAGAAACTCCACTTGTCAAGAAACTCAAACAAACCCACCATTATCTGAAAAGCTGTTTAAGTGATCCTCCTCTTCCCACTTAATATCTATGAGAGACCAGGTTTTCTTCATGTACTTCAAACAAGACCACATATTCCGCAGATTCAGATTAAAGGCAAGAGCAGATAGGAGAGTACAGCTGTCTTCCATTAAGCCTGATACCAGAGAGGTTTGCAAACTCCAAAAGAGTTACATTCTTCTTACTCAATTTTTTTTTTGGCTTTGGAAAATATAGCTATTTTTATAAAAATATGTAATTTATATAATGAGATTATTATGGGTTTTTCTTTTTCTTTTTCTTTGGGTATTGGGGATTGAACCCAGAGGGACTCTATGCACTGAGCTTTTAATCTTTTTTTTTTTCTTTCTTAAAATCTTGACACAGGGTCTCACTAAGTTGCTCAGATTCTAAGTTGCTGAAGTTCTTAGTATGTTGCTGAAATCAAACCTGCAATCCTACTGCCTCAGCCTCCTGAATAGCTGGGATTATAGGCATGTGCCACCATACCCAGCATAATGTGGTGTTTTTTTTTAATTTTTTTAGTTGTTGATGGACCTTTATTTTATTTATTCATATATGGTACTGAGAATCGAACCCAGTGCCTCACACGTGCTAGGCAAGCGTTCTACCACTGAGCTACAATCCCAGCCCCATAATGTGGTGTTTTAAAAAGGAATTAAAAACTCTTAAAACATCTGTGTTTTAATTTTTAATATTATAAATATCAGTTGATCTAGTGTATTATAATCAAAAGCTCCCCAGTATCCTCAGCTTTTAAGAACGTAAAGAATCCTGAGAACTCTGCCTTCTACACACTAAATACGACTCAGGGATATGTCTCCCACCAGTGATATTTCTCTGGTATGGTTTCTTCCCAAGTTTGTTACTTAGTTTCTAAGTCAGGCTTTGTGCCCAGGAACTCAAAAGATAAGCCTGTTCTCAGGGCCTTTAAGGTTCTTAGCATTCTGGCCCAAATTTCTGTGGCCAAAACTAAACCTGGTGATTTTAGAGTACAATTTAGGAAGCAAATGATTCCCAATAAAGAAAAGATAGAAGTTGGTTCTCTTAACAATTTGAAATTGCATTGTGGTATTATCTGCCATATAACTGGTATGCATTGAGATATACATTGAGGAAATGAAAGATATAAGAAGTGTCTTTCCCCCAAACAGCCTTACATGTAGTCCAGAGCTTTATTTATCAAAAAGAAATCTGATGGACAAAAGACGACCATGATTTCTTTGTAACTCTCCTCACTGAGAAGTGGAATTCATTTTCCCACATCCTGACCATAGTGTGGCCCTGTGGTTGCTTAAGGAATGGTTTATGGCAGACGTGACACTGTGCCAATTCTAGGTTTATCCTTTAGAGGACTGACAGGCAGCTTTTGCTTCTGCCCTCTGTTCTTTTAACAATTTGAAATTGCAATGTGGTATTATCTGCCATATATTGTGCACTGAGATACACATTGAGGAAATGAAAGAAGGGTCTCTGTTAACACTTACTCCTAGCACTCAGCCTCTCAGACTGTTTACATCAGCTTTTTGTTGCTGTGACCAAAACACCTGAGAAGAGCAATGTGGTTTCAGAGATCTCAGTCCATAGATGGCTGACTCCATTGCTTGGGCCCAAGATAAGGCAGCAGATCATGAAGATGGACCCAGCAGAGGAAAGCTGCTCTCCTCATGGCAGCAAGTAGCAGTGAGGGATGGGGGGAAGGGGAGCAGGGAAGATGCACCCTTCCAGGGCATGCCCCCAGTGACCACCCATGCCCCACCTGCCTACAGTTGTCTCCCAGCCAGCCCATTCAAACTAAGATGGATTAAGTTACAGCTCCCATAATCCATTCATTTCATCTCCAAACATTCCTGCATTAACACAGGCACTTTGGGGGGACACCTCATATCCAAATCATAAAACAGCTCCAGCTGCCATGCTGTGAAGGTCCCATGCCACATGAGGGTCATGTGTAGGTCCTGTGGTCAACTCCTGGCTGAGCTGCACCAAGTGACAAGTATACAAGTGGACCATCACGGTTGGTTCAGCCCAGTGAGCTTGCAGATGACTATGGCCCCAGAGGACATCACAAGACCAGAACTTCCCAGGAGGATGCAACAAATACACAAAACCATGAGGAATAATAATACAGTTGCTTTCAATCATTACATGTTGTCTGGTTTATTATGCAGTGATAGAAAAAATGTATCATTTGGGAGATATTGCTTGAATTTATGGAGAAGTATAATACCTCTCTAAATCACTTTATCAAAACCTGTTGAGAAAGCATAAAATATCAATTTAATTTTTTAAGGTATTTAACTCATGTAACTGTATCAAGTACTTCCATGTTAGGAAACAGATGGAAGTTCCCATTTTTTATATTTATTTTTTAGTTGTAGCTGGACACAATACCTTTATTTATTTTTATGTGGTGGATTGAACTCAGGGCCTTGCATGTGCTAGGTGAGTGCTCCACACTGAGCCACACTCCCAGCCCTGGAAGTTCCCATTTAATATTAACCAACAATAAGGTTTCTTTTTTTTTTTTTTAAGAGAGAGAGAATTTTAATATTTATTTAGTTTTCGGCGGACACAACATCTTTGTTTGTATGTGGTGCTAAGGATCTAACCTGGGCTGCACGCATGCCAAGCGAGCGCGCTACCACTTGAGCCACATCCCCAGCCCCAACAATGAGTTCTTTAAACTCTAAAGTGAGCAGTTAGTATTAAATGATTGGACTCAACCAATTCAATGGAGAACTTGGTCTCCTCCATTACAATTGTTTCTCCATACCCACCAGTTCCACATCTTCGGATCCCACCAAATATTGATGAAAAATGCTTTAAAAAATTGTGTTGGTACTAAGTATGTATAGAGGTTTGCTTTGTCATCATTCCCTATACAATACAGAATAACAACTATTTACATAATATTTATATTGTAATAGATATTATGAGTAACCTAAAGATAAAGTATTTGGGAGAATGTGTGTAGTTTCTGTGCAAATACTGCATTATTTTATATAAGGGACTTGAGCATCCTGAGATCTTGCTCTCTTTGCTGATTTGTAGCCAGTGGATTAAAATTATAAATAAAACAAACTCTCTCAAGGAGATTGAGGGACAATGCATATTTGATCCAAAGAAGAAGGAACTGCACACAGCCTTCTTTTCCCATTCTGTTCCTCCACTCGGCAGTAACTGCTAAGGAACAGATTAGTAGGGGCTTTGGAACGAACGTTTGCTTAGGTTTGAAACTTAGATTTTGTTGTTGATTTTTCCCAACTTTAAGTTTCCTTGTTGCCCAAGACCATAATTCCAAGAGTTTCCAGCATTATTCTGGGAGCCTAAATCATCTTTTAAACAGCTGCTAAATGTCGATGGGCTCG